GGGTCTGAATACTTTCCGTACCCACTGTATATATATATATATATATTATTAGTTTATTATAGCTTTAATGCTTTAACTGGTGTTAACAAATTAAACTTGTAAATTGTTACCCTTTATTTTTGTATCCTATAAAATCCTCACCTGGGAACCATGTTTTGGTGTGACACACAGAACTTTTGAACCACTTAATTCCTCATTTCCAGCTGTCACGAGTTGCAGCCCGGTTGTTTTGTGTCTTATATTTAGTAGCCTTGAGCTACACAAACTATCAACCTTCATTTGAGCACCTCTAGCACACATTATTTAGAGTGGACATTGGAAAGAATTAAGCGAGGCTGTCTACTCTAAACTGTGCTGTTTACATTCAGCTGCCTTGGACTGATTTGCTTTTTTAGTGAAGAATGCAGTGTGAATTATTAAAGTAAAGGGAATTTTTCCTCTTTCGGTGTAAATTATGAATGAAATTGTCAGATACTGCTACAACAGCGTTTTGGTGCTGTGAACTACAATTTTAACCTTTATGTTTTGTTACTGAGCTCAGAGTGCTTTTAAAACTTCAGGTCACAACAGTTTATTTAGGCAGTGCAAATAACACGCTCAAACGCTCAAAAATTAAAGTTTTAATATATCTGAGCCCATTCTTTTTTTGTGTAATCTTACAAATTTGGATACTTTTGTATACTGGTTAAACAGATTACCGTTTTTCCCTATGTTACCTACTAAATTTTAACTTGAATATATTTATTTATGTATTTGTTTATTGTGTTTGGGTATAGTTGAATCAATAAAATAATGTACTCTTCACAAAGCTGTTTTTGTGAAGTTTTTTGTGAAGCATTTGGCAAACTAAAAAGCCTTTGCAATAACTAAATGCTTCCAGGTTTTTATTCGAATTTCGTATTTCAAATGATTTTATGCACTGAAATTGTTCAAGGAAAATTCCAGTTGAATTTACAGTAGGTCAATTAACTATTTGCATCGCTCTCAGATGTATTGAATTTGCACTGCTCTTTGTTGTTGGAAACGTATCATTTGTGTTATATTCTCCTCTCCTTTTCCAGGTTCCTCAGTAAGTTTGGGTGAGAGAGTAGACTGTGAATTTTAGTATTTATTTATTTATTTATTTTAGTAAATTATTTAGTCATTTTGTTCTATGTCTTTTCGAATCATATTTAACCCATATTTAAAGACAGTCTTAGCCTCCAGGGGACAATTGCATAAACTGCTTAGACTAGTTAGTCCTTGTTATTCATTACATTTTTTTTCTTTAAGACTGGTCATAAATTGTACAAGTCAGTTACATAAAAAAGCAGGTCTAATTTGAATCCAAAAAGAAAGACTGATTACCTCTTGGCTAACTACTATTTGGTTAGACTAGTTTTTAAGTCATAGGTGACTGCTTCTGCATCTGGCCCACTGATCTATAATAGAAATAAATCTCTGTTATAGATCAGTGGGCCAGATGCATAAACAGTATCTAGTGGTCACATAAAACTTTATAGCATTCCACTAAATGCACATTGTGTCAATGCACAATCTGTTCCAAAGCGATGCATGCAGTCTATTCTATACAAAGGAAATATTCACTTGAAATCATATGGCAATATGGCACCGCTAACATGCATGACTGCTGCCAAATGTATTTCTATGGGCCTCATCCGTAGAGGAAATATCAAAAATCCTTGGGGGGAAAAAAGCTGTGCTGTGCAGCTGCTCCCATGTAGAAATTGAGGGGTTTCCATTGAGTTTACTTTGGGGATAATTGTCCAGTGTGTAAGAGATTAGTTTCAGATCAGCTCATACACTGCTATAAAAGACTTAAAAGTCTGGTATGATTGTGTTGTTCATAATCAAAACCAAACTGTTATGTGGCAAATAAAGTATCTTACTTTATTCAAACTTACACTGGAAATAAATATTGTTGGAGTATGATTTAAAAGAAAATGCAACTTCAATCTTTCTATTTCAAATTTAATTTCAAATGGTTTAATTCTATTTCAAATGTCCATGCATGAGTGAAAAGCGTTTCTACAACATTTTTTTCCAGTGTATTATGAAAAAACAATTTCACTTTTTGCAAACATATTTGGCTCTACCGCAGACAGTCAAGTGGCATTTACAGATCAATGCCCGGTTGCATAAAGCACCTTAAGTTTTTCCCTTAAGTATGAGACTTAATGCGTGATTTCCCCTTACCTAAGAGAATGACTTAAGGTTGTTGCATATAATCCCTTAAAGGGGTCATATTATGTTGCTAAAAAGAACAGTATTTTGTGTATTAGGTGTAATGAAATGTGTTTATGCGGTTTAAGGTTCAAAAAACACATTATTTTCCACGTACTGTACATTATTGTTTCTCCTCTATGCCCCGCCTTTCTGAAACACGTCAATTTTTACAAAGCTCATCGTTCTAAAAACGTGAGGTGTGCTCTGATTGGCCAGCTATCCAGTGCGTTGTGATTGGCCGAATA